ACACAAATCCTCAATTTCTTTTTTTAGGTTCTCTGGAAGGCACACCGAAAGTGCCTTGTGACTGACTTTGGGGGGGGGGGGGTTCATGCCTGGGTTTCAAACGTGCCACAGAAGCCACAAGACACAGAACACAACACAAGGGTCTTTAGAGTTCAGCTTTCTCACCTGAGGGCATAAGTATAGCCAGTGTTCTCTGGCAGGCACTGGGGAGGGTTATACATGTGAAGCCGTGAATAATCCATGGTGGCTAGTTCAAATCATGCTGCAAAGAGGGCGAAAACCCAACGCTATAACAGTTCGAAAGAGACAGAGAGAAAAATAATAATAATAATGATAAAAAGCTCTCGATTCCTCCGGCCTCGTTCGTGGAATATACGGGTATTTGGGGAAAGTGAAAGGAGAAAAAATAATAACAATTTACACATGCACACATGGCACTATCTGAAAGAGCGTGCCTGTTTTATATGACTGCCAATGTTAGATATCCCTTATCAACACTTACAGGAATGTCAACATCCTTCCTTTTCTTTCTTGTTTCTCCTTCCCTCCCTTTTTCTTCTTTCCTTCTCTTTCTTTCCCTTTCCTTCCTTCTTTCTTTCCTTTCTCTTTCCTTTCTTTTTTCTTTCTTTTTCTTTCCTTTTCATTTTGTTTCTTTCCCTCCCTCCTTCCACACTAATGATGTCCCTTCCCTATCCACCCTATTATATAGAATAATAACAAGTCATGCACGCTACAATCCCTGGCTATATTTTGCATTTACAATTACTAGGCAGCGGTGCTCGGAAATTCCTCAAGTTGGCACTGCTTGCTAAAGTAGATATTATTTTCTCATTTATCCAAGCATAACATTACTGAGATTTTATTTTCCACATCAAGAACAGTACCAATCAAGAGGGTTGTGTCAAAAGAAAGGGATGTTGTTGTTTTTTGAAAGGCCAAGTTGTTTTCTTTACAAATTTGTTCAGCGCCCGGCTCAGCTTTCAGTTTTAAGAGAGTTTTAAATCCCATCTGGCCAGATCCGGATTTTTTTTTTCCACTCGTCCTCTGGAAAGGCATGGAAGATCTCACCGGAGAAAGACCAAAACACTGCCGAACGTGTATGGATCATAAATCTGTATTTTAGAAAGTTGTTTCAACTTAGGATTTTAATGGCCTGAACTATGGAAGCTACCTTTCAAAGCATTTTCTGTCTGATTGGCACTTGTGAAAACTCTTCAAGGCAGCATCACGTCCTGGATGAAATCGAATTGCCTTTTATGGTTTCAGCATTGATGTAACACGGAATATCAGCTCTCATTTTATCAGTTATTGTAGCTATCAAATATCATTTATGGTGCAGCTTGAAAACCTAGGGCAAAATGTTACAGACCAGCCAGGTTTGACCTGCAAAATCTGCAAAGAGCTAAAGCAGCCCAGACCCAAATGTTTTTTTTTTAAAGTTGTGTATCTGCTCCTCTTAGTTTTTGGGAGAAAGATATCTTCAAGGTTTGCAGAGGGGAAAAAAAAAACCCTGTTTTAAATGGTACCAGGAACACAACTGAATTGTGTTTTTCTGCTGCTTTGGGTTTGTTTTATGTATATACGCTGCTATTTTAATTGCTTACGGCATAGGAAAAGCCAATGGTCATCAGAGGACAGTACAGATCCCAATTGGGAATTCTCATTGTGTGAATTAAAACAACAACCAACTTTGGAGGGACGCGGGAGAGAAAAGATCTACGCATTCCAAAGATTTGCACTCAAAACAAACCGTACCTCAATTATAATGTGAAGCATTAGTAAACAGATATATTAAAATGTTACGATGGAAACATGCTGGCGTTTTGAAGGACAGTTTTATCTTCCATAAATTTGTCAGGCATCCTTTAAAAAGAAAAGGAAGTACTGATTTAATTTTGAGCTGTAAGAATGCAGCTCCTGAGTCTTTTACCTTTCTGTTCTATTAAATGAATGCATGTTTAGCCCTGAGAGAAGTCTGAGAAATTCAGGGGTTCTTAAAGTGTGGGTCCTGACTTTAAAGGAGTCATGGGCATTTTAGAAAGGACTCACAAGATTTTTGTTAAATCAGATTTGCCCAGGCGAATGGGGAATACTGTCAGGATTCGCTCCCAAAGTTAGTTTTGAGAGAAGGATAAATGTACAAAACTAGTCAGCTAGCCACTAATTGCTAATGCCCAAATCACCATCAACCACATCGGTTTCCTTAGTTTTAGTCATGGAGCAGTTACACAAACTTGCTGGTCGTTTTAGGTGGCTGCAGTATTATTATTTTTTAATTGCACATTTATAGGCCGCCCTTTTCCCTAAGGGGACTCAGGGCGGCTTACAATCAAAGGGGAAAGGGAGTGTAGGACAATACAGAAAGAGAAGTGAACAAAGTAAATTAAACAGTAAAACTCAACATTCACTCGGCATTCGGGAGGGGCGAAAGTAAACTTATCCCCAGGCCTGACGGGCTAGCCAGTTCTTGAGGGCTGTGCAGAAGGCCTGGACGGTGGTGAGCGTACGAATCTCCACGGGGAGATTGTTCCATAGTGTCGGAGCCGCAACAGAGAAGGCTCTCCTCCGAGTAGTCGCCAGTATCACAAAGTTGGAAGTCCCTTGGCTTGATTTGGGCTTAGCATCAAACTTAGATTTTTGGCTTGGCAAGTAACAACCCATTATGGTATAGCCAATAAATAATGGTGAAATAAATGGAATGTGTAAATGGACCCAATAAAGAGAAATGCAAATGAGGCTACATGCAAAGAGAAAAATTGGGAACTTAAAAAGGAAGACTAAAGGTAAAGGTAAAGATTCCCCCCGCACACATGTGCTACTCGTTCCCGACTCTAGGGAGGGTGCTCATCCCCAATTCAAAGCCAAAGAGCCAGCGCTGTCCGAAGACGTCTCCGTGGTCAGGTGGCTGGCATGACTCAATTCCGAAGGCACACGGAGCGCTGTTACCTTCCCACCAAAGGTGGTTCTTATTTTTCTACTTGCACTTTTACAGGCTTTCGAACTGCTAGGTTGGCAGAAGAAAAGGGAAGACTAACAATTGTGCAAATAATTACAAGCCCCAAGAATAGAATAACACCTCTCCCCCTTTTTGCACTGTAGCTAGGGAAAAAATAATTTTAAGGGGAGCATCCACACCTAGAAAAAAACATTGAAGCGAAAGGAAAGCCAATGTTCATCTCCAATATGAAAGCAAGACCAGATACTTGAATAATCTGAAAGATCTCAGCGATGCTTTCACCAATATGCCAAGCAGGCGGCAAAACCCATGATTAAGAAAACAACATCACTCCCTGTTGTTCTAATTCGGTCTCAGAAACGGAGGTGTTCACTGGAGAAGAATGCATTTCTGGTGCAGGCATCACAGTGGGGAAAAGATGCCCTTCTTACCATCTGTCCTAAAACTGGTGAAACAGTAGAGCTAATAGCTTCTTTCAAACTCTGCTTGAAACACAATCCAGGTCCATTTCCACGCAACTACAATTTAAACAATGAGAAAACACAGCTTTCCAAACGTGATTGGAGTGGAACAAAGAGCCTTTCAGGAGGCTGTGAGTTCGATCCTAGGTATAGAGGCAGATATTTCCCTCTCTGGCCACAATGAGAATATATCTGCTGCACAGAACTCCGCACTGGCGACAGGAAGGGCATCCGGCCAGTAAAATACTCTGCTAGCTCCATTCAGAGGACCAGACTCCAGCCTGCAAGGGATTATGGGATTGTTAAAAGATGATGATGATGATGATGATGTGAATCTGTCCAAACGACAAAGCTCGTATCATTTCCAAAACTAGGGGCAGATTTTGGTGCTCAAACAACAAGTCAAACATAGTTTACATTTTGTTTCAAATTCATCAGGTCAGCAACTTGGAGAACCTGTTTCTAAATGTACACTGGCCAGGAATTCTACAGTAAAATTATAATAACCTGCATGGCTGTAATATATTACACCTTATCCTAAACTGGATCTTCTCTAACTTCACAGAAATAAACTTCCTAGAAGTTCTGGAGGGCCCAGTAAGTCACAGTGGATAGGGAAGGCTGAGAGGTGGAATTCCAAGAGATTTGGAGATGGCCACGTTGGGAAAAGCTGTTCCTAAGCAAATATGTATGGAAGTATTCTAATACTTCAACTACAAGGATGATTTCAGCATCATAACTAGAAAGCTATGTAAAACACTTTTCTGCCCAATTGGATTATTTCTTTTGGGTTCTTCAATACTTGGAGGAAGTATACAATTGTTTTGACATGCAAAAAGCAATGATCTTGCAAAACAGCAAATCTACAATTAGCAAATTATGTTTTTAAACATGCACCATAGACATAATAAGAGAGGCTTCCTGCAATTGGGCTTCAAACGGTTCTCCAAATTAAGGCAGCAATTAGAAACAAACTTCCGTATCTGCTGGGTCTTCCCCTCCCTTCCCTTGGTCACATCAACACCAGCTTAGGTTCCGTGTATGTAACCAACCACTGTTACTACCAAGGTTACTCCGAGTTGAGGGTTTTGAAGTCATCATCACTCCTGGTTTCAAATCAAAGGAAAGGGACCAACAGTAACTGGTTTGTTCGAGGAGAGACCTTCAAAACCACAGGGGTTAAGGGAAGTCACGGGGAATGGGTCATATGTTCCGAGAAGGCCAATATTGACTTTCACAAAACCAGAAAATGATATCCTCAACAAGTGAGCCAGGAATATTAGAAACAATTGTAATATCTGTTTTTCTTTTTTGCTATGGTTCCCTTGAGCCTAAACATAGCTGAGAGACACGGTTACTTAGCAAACAACATGGCATCAACAAATCTAATTTGGAATTGGCTGCACGACAGCCGCTCTCTTCTTCTTCTTCTAGGAAGCCCACATATGAAATATTAGGCTATGAAGGAATGATTTTTTTTTAATTGGCAGAAGCACAACCTGTAGATATGTCCTACAGGAACGGAGCCCATAGCTGTTATTTGCATGCAAGCTGTTTGACTATTCAAACTGTTTGCTTACTGTAAGAAATTGGGAAGCTTCCAAAAATCCAAAACAAAAATATATTTCATTCTCTCCCCCCCGCCCCCAAACCTGGCTGTTGAACGGTATACAGAGGTGTTACTGGCAATCCCCATCAGCTGAAGCGTTCACCTTTTGGGGTAAATATTGACTTCCATTGGAGCAGCGACTGAGTTATGGAAGTCAGAGATGTGGGAAGTTATGGAATAAAGGAGGGGGACCAGCAATAGCATTTAGACTTATATACTGCTTTACAGTGCTTTACAACTCTGTCTAATTGGTTTACAGAGTCGGCATGTTGCCCCCAACAATCTGGGTTCTCATTTTACCCACCTCGGAAGGATGGGTCAACCGTGAGCTTGGTGACATTTGAACTGCCGAACTGCAGGCAGCTGGCAGTCAGCAGAAGTAGCCTGTAGTACTGCATTCTAACCACTGCACCACCATGGCTCATTGACTACAGGGACAATCATACTATTACATGGGACTATCCCAAGTTGACTCTCCAACTTGGGATAGTCAAGGAGAACATATTTGCTGGATTACAGTTTCTTTCATCTCTGGCTGTTGGGGTCTTCCACTGCGAGATTGA